ACAATTTTAACAAATAATTGAATTAAAAGAACCAAAATTAAAAGGATTTTTTGAAGAAATGATGAATGCATTAATTCTAGTAAAAAGACTTATTAAAAATAAGGAAAAAGCAAAAAAACAAGTAGTTGTATATTGTTATCTTCTAGTTGGAATAAGAAATAAGTTTGCAAACAATTTTAAATTAGATCTTGGACTTTTTTTACAATCTTTAAGAATGTCTAATTCAGGAATTAATACTTTATCAAATGCTGGTCTTAGTGTTCATTCAAAAACTCTTTAAAGATATAAAAAAGATATAACAAATGCTCATTTATCTAAACTTAATAATTATTTTGATTTAAATGTAAGTTTTTTTTTAATTTTAATCTAATATATTTTAATAATAAAATTTATTAATTATTATAATTAATTTATTTATTTTTAGTCTAATGTTTTTCATTGCTTTAATATTGATGATTTTCATGATATTTATGGAATACATCGACCAGATACTACAACTCTTTCTAGTATAAATCATATGGCCACATGTGTATCAAAACTAATTATTAATACATTACCTATTTTAGCAAATATATATTATTTAGAAAATTCTAATTATTCTTTTTTTAATCCAGAAAATATTGAATAGCTTTCTATTAGACAATATTTAATTAATGGAGCCTTTGATATAAGTTATAATGCACAAAAATTAAATTGGATAAAAACTATTCAATTTGAAAATTAAGATCAAATTGAATTACTTATATTATATATATATAATGATGCAATTACTGAATGTAAAGAAGAAAGATCAATGAAAAATATTAAAATAATTAATATAAAAAAACAAAATTTACATTCTATAGAAGATTATCTAAATGCTTAAAAATGATTACTTCAATAGAATCATTTCAACCATATCTTCAAAATAATATAATACCTATAATTGCTGATTGGCCAGAACAATATTTTATCAGAAAAATTATAACACATTATTATAAAATAGTTAATACACCAGAATATAATAATATATTAGTTTCTGAAAATATTAGTAATTTTATTCCAATTATAGGACCTCTTCATATTTCTTTAAATTTTCGTGAACAAGTTATTCTTGTTCATTATTTATTTTTTTAAAAATTTTTTCATTATATATTTGATAAAAAAAAAAATTTTGCAAAAAAGCCAAAACCTTGGAGAATTAATTTATTACTTGAATTAATTCATAAAGGTTGGCAAAAAATATCACAAAATATTTTATTAAAATTTGATAATTATTGTAATAATATAGAATATAGAATGATTATTGATCTTTTGGATAATTTAGTACTATCAACTTTAGATATATATGCAATTCTTTTTCGATCTGGACATTTTGAACAATTTTTTGATACTTTATTTCGATTATGGACATTTGCATTAAGATGGAAAAGAAAAAATTATAATAAAGCACCTTTGGCATTTATATCAGATTATTTTTATTGGCAACAAATCAATCATTCTTTAGCAGAAATTATATCAAAATCTTTAGTTAATTTTAATGATTATTTTGTTGAAAATTTTCATAGTAAATTAAGAGCAAATATTAATCAAAATTGTACTGCAGATCATATTATAGAACAATCTCATATATTGGATATACATAATAATCAATTATTTAATACTTTTCGAAATGAAAAAGTTTATCCATATAAACAAAAATAAATAGATTATTTAATTAAAAAAAGTAGTCTATTTTTATTAGATTATTTTCAACAAATTTTTCAAAATCTTGGAAAAAGTAAAATAATTAAAAACAAAAATGATATTAAATTTTTTATGAAAACTTTAAATAAAACATTAGAAATTAAATGTTTACCAGCAGGTTATCATACATCTTATTTACCTTTATCAGATAGATATAATAAATGTAATATTCCAATTAGATTTAATACTAGAAAAGTATACAATTGTAAACATTCTTATCATGATAATTGTTATAATTCAGCATGCTATCATTGTTTAGAATATTATAAAAAAGGAATTACTAAACAAGTTAATTTATTTAAAAAAGGATTAGAAAGTAATAATGATGATAATAATATTTTTGATTTTTTAAAAAATGATAATATAAATGATGTTAATGAATTAGATGATGAAAATAATGAAAATAATGAAATAGAAGATAATAATATAGATAATCTACTTCAAACAACTATTAATACTATTAATCAATAGACAACTATACAATAAATATTTAATTAAAAATTTAATAAAAATTATATATATTATATTATAAAATAAAATTTAAAATTAAAATTAATAAATAATTATTATATACAATATATTTTTTTATTTTTATTTTTTTATTATATCATAATTAAATAATATTTACTATTACTTTATTTTTAGTAATATATAAATGCTTATTCACACTTATCCATCTCTGTGTTGTCTTCTAAGATCACATGTTTGACACCAAATTAATAATATATTATATTGCTTGCAATTACATATTTTCTATTCCAATTATATCTTTTATAATTAAATTCATCAAATACTAATATATATTCATTCATGATTGTATTTTGAGTTAATTCATAGATGCATATACACGGTACATACTCTAACTGACTATCGAATTGCATGATTTTTAAACTTATAAAATACGTATATAAACAATATAAGTATAATTATAAGTATAAATTAAGTATAAGTATAATTAAATATATTAATTAAATAAACAACATATAACAATAATAAAATGATATGAACTTACTTCTTTTAAAATATTTTAAATATATGCTATTTCTGTTAATATTTTAAGTGTAATTATGCATGCCGGTATGCATGACTGTGTATATTCATTTATACATTTATTATAATCATATTTAAAATTTAGATATCGTATTCTATCTAACCATGTTGCTAAAAATCCATTACCATTCTTTAATACAATTATCAACATCTTTATTCCTACGTGTCCATTCTTGTACTATCTTTTTGAGGGTCGCATGTTTGATATGAATCACAAAATGTGTTATATCGCTTGCATTTTGCACATTTTCCATAACCTTCATACCTCTTAGAACTAAATTTATCGATTATAATTTTAAGATATTATTGTACAAAGTAATTAATCGTCAGTTTTGCATCATATAATATATACACACCAAGTTTTCTTATGTAATAGTAATAAACAAAAAAGCTCAGATTTTAAATTTTAATTATTCAAGTTGTGTGAATTGTAACAATAATCAGTAAAAATATGTAAGAGTAAAAAAAATATTATTTACCTTTTACCTATTTTGATGATTAGCATCTTTTATAATCAGCAATTATCATTCCATCAACTTAATAAAAAATTCTACGAAAAAAAAACAAGTAAATACGCAAATTAATTTGCATCAGGTTATCATCTAAAATTCTTGCTTTTACTATCACTATATTAATCTATATGCATGTGTAAAAAATAACCAATAAATCATAAAGACCAATCAAGCTTAAGATTTCGTGAACAGATTCCATTTTACTTTGTGATTTCATCACTCTGTTCCTGGTATATTGCTCATGTGCAATTTGTTCAACTGTATATATATGATCGATTTTAATTGGTTAACCTTTTACTGCACCTAAAAATTAAAAAATTTTGATTGAAGTTGTTGACCCAGCCAGGTTAAGAGAACCAAAAATATTGGTTTGTATAGTCTAAGCTATAGTTCTTAGCCTGGGACTTCACTATGTACAGTAAGATAGATGATCTTTGAACATGCACTAAGTTATGCATGAAAAGGTTGATGTTAATTGGCTGACTATTATGTGATCAACCCATACTTTTCCGAAATTTGAGAAAGTCCCCCATGCTGAAATTCTGTTCTTTTCTTCTTCTTTGAGCCCATTCCATGCTGCTGCTGTTGCAACTTTTTGAATTCACTTTCACAGATTTTTTTGTTCCTTACAGCTAGTCAGATGTGCTTGCGTTTCTTTTTCTCCAACTTGGCACACCTGGCATTCTGACATTGTATATACTTCTGGTCTTCTTCTGTTTAGCTCTTCGAGTGTTGGCAGTTTGTCTGTTATACACTTGATTGCTA